CACTATAACCATCATCGTCTCCTACCACCACTGTTGTCGCCCATCCTCTCACCCCATTACACACCGATGCTTAATTATTTTATCTTTTCTCTATGTTTATGATTTAATTTTAGATATAAATATAAATATGTTTATTGTTTACTATTTTTATTATTTTGTGTCTTCAGAGACAGACAATAACTAGTATAAAAAATAACATGTACGCAATAATCGTCAGACAAGTACACTAAAAACACAAAACGTTAGATAGACACACTAAAACACAGATCGTTAGACAGGTACACTAAAACACAGATCGTTAATGTATCTTTTTTTCTATAAACATAGATCGTCAGACATGTGCATTAAAACACTGATTATCATAGAGGTGCACTAAAACATATCGTTAATTTACCTTCTTCTCTATAAACATAAATTATCATAAAGGTACACTAAAACAGATCGTTAGACAGGTACACTAAATACAGATCGTTAACGTATATTCTTCTCCATAAACATAGATCGTCAAATGTCATCATAATATCCAAATTATTTGGTTCACGAGTTTGAATTTCAAAACGCACAAAAAAAAAACTATATTTTAAGTTGAAATTATGTGGTAAGAAAAAAATGAGTAATAAAAACAGTAACTAAATCTGTTAATTTCCGTGCTAAGGATCACTAGAAAATTTTTTCAAAAATTGAAAAACTTTTTTTTATACTAAAATTTTATATGACTAAAATTAATTTACATGCTAAAAGAGTGACGTAACCTAATTAATAATAATAATAAAAAAAAAAAGTAGGATTAGTAGGAACATCGGGTCATGGTAGCCGTCCAATTGGTCAGGCTGACCTGGCGTTCCGTTTCATGTGAAAGGTCGAAAAGAAATTAATACATAGACACGTTCCCGAAATATAGCAAATTGCCTAGTTTGACGACGGTTCAATTCCAATTGGACCAAATCGTGGACGTCACGCGACTTTTCAAAAAACTTGGCCCCCAAGAAAAATCCAACTTGACCTTTTCCTTTAAATAATGTCTTAGCGTCTAGAGAATATACCCCATTCAATTCCACAAATACCCCCCATTCCATTTTGGCTTGATTTTTTTTTCGCTACACAAGACGAGAAGAAGCCTGACCCCTTTTTTTATATATATATTTTAAGACAGAAAGATTGTCATTGCTTTAAATTATACATAGTGTGTAAATTCAAAGTACTATAGAACAGAGAGGTCAAATTCAAACCCTTATGCAACTCTACATGGTATCAAAACCTATTTTTGATAAACGTCCAAAAATTTTAATACAGTTAGATTATCATTACTATAAATTATACATATGTGTATATTCAAAGTAATATAGGATAGAGAATTTAAATTCAAACCCTTTTGCAACTCTACATGATATAAGAACCATATTTTTGACAAACGTCTAAAAAGGCTTCTCCTCCTCTTGTGTAGCAGACTCGGTCAAATTAGAAATATTTGCTTCAATACTCTTCATTTTCCCATGAAAAAATATTGGGTATAATTGTTTTATTACCTCAACAGTATCAGGTTGTGTAATCGTCCATTAGTAATTAAATAAGTCAGCAAGTAAGCTCCATTAAAATTCATAATCACCCAACCATGTAATACATAATCACTTCTGTGATAAGAAATGAGTCCCATTTTATCCATTTTTTTATTAAATTATTAAACCCAATATTTACTCCCCCAATCGAATCAAGTTCTGAGCATGACTTGCTAATTCAACATAAAATTGGCACAAAATTAAAAAATTTGGATGATAATTGGTGAATCTATTTGACTAATTGGTAAAATAAGTTCACATGAATTTGATTAAATATAACATATATGAAGAACCTACTAAACATAACTTATATACAATTAATACATGACACGTATCTAACTTTAAGTACATATCACTCAACACAATATAATTTTAGATACGATACAAACTTGATAAGACACAATATGTTCACAACCCTAATTATTATGACAAAATAATAAAAATAAATAATTTTCGTTTACATAAACGATAAGAACTTGAATACTAAATTAGAGATTGCACACAAATGGGCATTTTGAAAAAAAAAAAAAAAAAACCTTTAGCTATTTAGCAGACCCAAACAAACTTCAGCTGATCATGGATAACCCCCGGCTGGGCTTGATGGATCAAACATTTAGCTCAAGGACTTTTTTGTAATCTCATTATTCGCTAGAGTACACTGGACGTTAGAAATGGTCCATAAAAACCTCCCCCCTTCAAAAATAAAGAAAAATACAAATCAACCCCCGAAGTTTGAAAAATTAGCGGCCAACCGCTTCAAACACACACACACACACGTCATCAGATTCCACCGCCTTGAAATATAAACCCCACCGTCTTAAACCTCTTCTCCACACAAGAAGCCTTCTTCCGTAAACTCCAATTCCAAACTTCTTGCGTTTCTTAAACTTCTCTGACATTTTTCTTCTTCTTTGTCTGGTCTGATCGAGCGAGGAACAATGATGATGAGCCGTGGTGCAACCAGGGCGGCCCGGTCTGTGATGGGTCACGTGGGACCACGTTTCTTCTCCACCGCTACCGTTCGTGGCGGAGCAGCCAATGGGTCAGCCACCGGAGTTGTTGGTGCTTCAGGTTTGTTGGGTGTGAATCCATTCATGGGTTCGGAGAGGACAACGGTGGCGTGGATTAGATTTCCAGTAATGGGTGTGCGAAAAGAGAGTACCGTAGCTTTGGGTGACAAGGACGAGCATCCGGAGAAACAAGCGCAGACTGGTGGTGCTAGTGGTGCTGCCGGTGGTGGTGGTGATGATAAGGCCATTGTCAGTTACTGGGGGGTTGAGCCGGCGAAGGTTACTAAAGAGGATGGTACTGAATGGAGGTGGCACTGCTTTAGGGTACGTACATTTTAATAGATGTCCCGTGAATAACATTTCTTCGAAACTTTTGAGTTTTGGTTAGATCTAATTTGTTTCCATCTTAATGTTTAAGTTCGAATCCTATCAAATTTTGCAGATCATTGCGTGTTGTTTTTAATCATGGGTGAAAAGAAAAACATTTTCATCAATATTAGATATCTGGAATTGTATTTATAGTTTGATTGTTCTTCATGGAGATTGATTTTGGGTTTTCTTTGGAAGCCATGGGAGACTTACCAGGCTGATCTTTCGATAGATCTGAAGAAACATCATGCCCCTGTGACTTTCTTGGACAAAGTAGCTTATTGGACTGTCAAGTCTCTGAGATACCCTACAGATGTATTTTTTCAGGTACAAATAATTTTTTGTCATTTAATCTTCTGATTTTTTACTGGTTTAATGGCCCTTAACTAATTTTTTTTGTTTTTTTTTTCCCTAATTAGGAATAAATCATCATTTATTGGACCTGTTTGCTGTAATATTTAGAAAACATTTTCTATTCTGGAAAATTGCACGATTTGCAGTTGAATCCTTTTCATTTCGGTTATCATTTGCTCAAGTTTTAAAAATGAAAATGACAAGCTGGCCCTTAAGATTATTCACTTTTGATTTGGATCATCTCAATTTTGTTGGAGATGAGTCCTCTATTGTTAAATTTATTGATCCCCACTAACGAATTTCTATGAATCGTGTCGTCTTGTGGGACTTGATGAATATAACCTTTGATTATTGAATTTGATCAAAATTAAAATATGGATCTATTTTCGTGATCATGATGACGCTCAATATTTTTTTAAGTTCCCTTAAAAAGGTGCATGAATGTTTTTGTGGCCTGATTCAATTATTTTGAAATTGTGTTTCAAAACGCCCATGGAGAGTATAAAATGCTTTGCTGAATTTTTGTTTTGCTCTTAATTGGCAAATAGTAGGCTATAAGGATTTTTAATGCCGAAATGCCTACCATTTGGTCTTGTATTTTTCTTAGTGTACAATGGATCTAGCATAGAGGAAAAGTGGAATGGGCAGCCGATGAGACTTGTGGATGAGTGGCTTCATAAGTATTTGAACAAATCCACTTAGCTGCTTAGATATTGTAATTAAAATTTGCACATAAATAGCAACAAAATAAAAGAAAAAGATTGTAGTAAGGAATGGTATGAAATTGTGCCTAATGGGATTGCTTTAAATGGTTCAGGATTTTGTTTTGTTTTGTTTTGATTTTATTGTGGATTGGAAATTGAAGATTTCCATTATTTCTCATTTTTCAATGTTATTAGAGGCCAAAGATTAAAAGGAAAATGAGTTTTTGAGACATAATGTTGGTTGTAGGCGACCTTATATGAGCTGTTAATTGCTAAGATGGGATTGCATATCTGGAAATGGTCGATGGTGAATGTCTTTTTGCTTTTTAATGCAGTCAAGTAATCCAAGTTTTCTAAACTTGTAAAAATATGTCCATGCACTCAGTAATCCAAGTTTTCTAATATTGTTAAAATAAGTCCCTGCACTCACTTTTTTTTCGAAAAATATTCTTGTTCTGTCACAGAGGCGATATGGGTGTCGTGCAATGATGTTAGAAACTGTGGCCGCTGTCCCTGGCATGGTTGGAGGGATGTTGCTACACTTCCAGTCACTGAGGCGGTTTGAACACAGTGGTGGTTGGATCAAAACCCTGTTGGAAGAAGCTGAAAATGAAAGGATGCACCTCATGACCTTTATGGAGGTGTCCAAGCCAAGATGGTATGAGCGTGCCCTCGTGGTTGCAGTCCAAGGCATTTTCTTCAATGCATACTTCCTTGCCTATCTGGCTTCACCAAAACTGGCTCACCGTGTTGTTGGTTACTTGGAAGAAGAGGCCATTCACTCCTACACTGAGTTCCTCAAGGAATTGGACAAGGGTACTATTGAAAATGTCCCCGCTCCGGCAATAGCCATTGATTACTGGCGTATGCCACCTGACTCCACCCTCCGCGATGTTGTCATGGTTGTGAGAGCAGATGAGGCTCACCACCGCGATGTCAACCACTTTGCGTCGGTGAGACCTTCAGATCTGATTTGCAATTCTTGATATTGGGTTCAATTTGTTGTAATGTAACTTGGGTGATCTTCTTTAGGTACTTACCTCTTTACTGAAATGAATTGCAGGACATTCACTATCAAGGACATGAGTTGAAAAGCTCTCCAGCTCCACTTGGATATCACTGAACGAACACAGAAATCTGCCTAATAAATTAGATAGTGAGTGTGGTACTGTCAAATAAAGTATCTTTGAACCTCTAATGATATGAATGATTGGAATGAGATTTACTTATGGAGTAGTATGCATGTATGTAATCGAGTCAGCTGTGGTTATGTATTTAAGTTTATTAATTAAAGCTATCAGTATTCTCTGTTCTTTCTTTTCTTTTTCTTTTTTTGATGTTTTTCTTTTTAGTGAGATTTTCATGGGATTGATATTTTGTTTCTTATACATGTGTTTAAATGGCAGGGTGATCACCTGCTCCTTTTATTCATGAAAATTTATCTATGAAGGCTCCCTCTATTTCGAAGGAAAACAAAATCCTGACTAAAGATAATGATGTGAGTACAAGGAGGGGAATTGTCAAACGAACTATTTCCTAAAGCAGCCTCCAGCAAATGATATTAGAAGGAAGCTGCTTTCAGAAAACAAAAGCTACAAGAGTTTTGTGTAAATAAGATGAAAGTTACATGAGTGTTTTGTAATTATCATCTGGATGTAGTTTTCCAACTTGTGATTTGTGAAGCGTTCACTGGATTATTATACTTCTTTTAAGAAAATCTAAATTTATAAGGTTCTCTGCAATGACAGTGCTGGGACTAGTACGCATGCGACAATGTCGGATTGATGCACAAACTGCAGAGCAATGTAATACAGGTTTTTGCAAATAATCGGAGAAAATTGGCATTACGTGCTCTGGGGTGTATTTTGCAATTTGTGGGAGTTCATGGCCCAAGAATTCAAAGAACTGCTCAACCTCTCAATGGAATGGCATGATATAACCTGTTGTGCTGCAAAAGAGTTTTTACGCCCCCAACGCATGCAGTCATGTTCGCCCCATAATCACGTTGTAGGGAGAGTCCGTATCGATCACAACAAACTCGGTGTCGATAACAAAGGGACTTGTGACAACTGGCAATGTGATTTTCCCCACGGGCAGGGCAAACGAGCCGTTGAATCCGATGAGGGGCGTCCTGACTATGGTGAGGTCTTTGAGGCCAAAACCCATCCGTTTTAAAGTTTTGGAGTACATCACCTCCGAGGAACTTTCAGAGTCTATCAAAATCCTCTTGACGTTGAATTTTCCTATCCTCAGGGTCAAGACAAGGGCGTCGTTATGAGGAGTCACTACGCCTGTCAAATCCGCATCGGAGAATGTAATGCCAAGCTCACCCGTCCTGACCCTTTTACTTGGTGGCCCTACATCAACCTCGGCTACCTTCCTCGTAAAAGCTACCCGTTTGAGGTCGGACTCGAGTTCCTTGGACGTGGGGCGATCCAGGGGACATATATGGATGACATCTATGATGTTGTCCGGCTTATCGGTCGGGGCAAGGGCTCGTCTCTCTTCTGGCCTGGGCTCTATGTACTCTTTCAAATATCCGTCTCGGACCAAGCTTTCCAAGAACGATTTGAACACCCTGCAGCTTTCGGTGCGATGCCCGAAATCCCTGTGATAAGAACACCTAACCTTTTGATCACGGGTGGAGGGGTCGCTCTGTATCCTGGGCGGCCATTTGAAGAACGGCTCGTGCTTGATTTTATGGAGCAGCTTGAAGATGGGTTCCTTGAACACGGTGTGAATTCCTTTGGACGGACCCCCTGGAGGGGGTAGCAGTCCCTTTCGGGGAATATCTTCCTGCTCCTTCTCTTTTCTCTTAGATTGGGGGGCTCGGCCTTTGCTGCTTCCCATCTCGTCCTCAATCCTCGAGTATTTGTTTATCCGGGCCATTAGTTCCCCCATATCCGAGGGGGTCTTCTTGGTCAGGGATCGGTACAGGTCCGTGTCCCTTGCCAAGCCGAGCTGGAACGATGCTGCTGCCATGACCTCCGAGTAGCCTTCTCCTCATTAACCTCTTTCCAGTATCGGATGACATACTGGCGAAGAGTCTTGGATTCCCTCCGTCTAAGGGTCAGCAATGATCCAATGTCTTTGGGGCGCTTACTCCCCATAATGAATCGAGCCAGGAACTGCTTAGTCAATTCCTTCCAGGACCCAATACTGTTGGGGGAAGCGCCTCGAACCACTTTATCGCAGCTCATAGGAAACACTCGGCAGAGAAAACCGTTGGTCCGAATGATAGAGGGACATCATCTACTTGTATTGTCTGACATGAGCTTCGGGATCGGACCGCCCGTCATAAGTTTTGAACCGCGGCACGACAAACTTTCTTGAAATCTCCATCTCACCGATCTCCCTCGTAAATGGTGTTTGTATGACTTCGTCCTCGGCCTCATCCTGGACAGCCTTACCCTTTCTCCTAGAGTCTAACCGGGCTCTGAGATCAATTTCTTCCCTGACGGGATGCCTCCTGAAGTCCTTGAGTTCATCGGTAAGCCCCTCATTTCCTGGGCGTCGTGTGGATTGGGTTGAGTCCTCCTCGGATTCATCTCCCTTCCTCCGTCTAGACAAACCTCGCCGGAGGACGTCCAGGGCCAATGGCCTTGCTTTCCTTGAATGGTTGTCATGATGATGCTCGCCGGCTCTGGGTCGCTTTGGGGCCCTAGAGCTTTCTGCTTTGTTGTTTAGGTGGTTTCTTAGATCCTTTGTTTCCGCCTCCCGGGCGGGAAGCCCACGAGAAAGGAATGAATCCCTCGATCCTTCGCCAGAGGCGACAAACTCGTTGAGCCGGCTTAGGACGTTTACATTGTCCTTTTTCAGCTGTCGTAATCTATCGCCAAACTTTTCTTCAATCACCTCCGCCAGCTGACGAGCCAAGGGGGCTGATCCCCCTGACCTGATTCCCATACTGGTTTGAGGGGTAACCCCTCTTAACCGAGTAGAGGCACTTTTATTCACATCGGTGTGATCCCTCCCTCCGTGATGACAGGGAGCTTGTAACTCGAGACTCCTTTGGTGGGGGCCTTTCCCTTTCTGTCGAGTGTTCACCATGGTCACTGTTCTTTATAGAGAAAAAACTAGGAAAACTAGTCGTTTCCCACAGACGGCGCCAGATTGTGCGTGCAAGATCCTGCACAATATAAAAACGAGAACAGATCTCTCCCTTGGTGAACTCGAGTGAGTTAGTTGAGTGACCAACCACGCTGTTTGGAACAGCTTGCGAGGTCCGGTGGTAACCTGGAACGGCGACGGGAGACCCTGGGGGAGCGGAAGAACGATCCAGTAAGGCTGAAAGAGGTTCTTGGAACAAAGAAGAACAAGTTAGAAGGGCGCCGGAGTGTTTTCCGGCGTATCCCCTCCGACGATCTAGTCAGTCTTTGAGAAAGAGAGAGGAAGGAAAAAACACTGGGTGTGTATTGTAGTAAAGAGTTTTTTGTTGCATACCCATCTTGCCTTTTGCAATGAGTATTTATACCTCAAAAGCTCATGATTGCTGTCAGTGTAGTCAGTAGGTGATCATTAGGTACAGGCAGTGTGCGCACTGATTTTGATGAGGAATGTCTTCTCTTCTTAACTGCTCGGGGTCCCGAGCAATCAATGCTGGGTCATCGGGATGCCGACGGTACAATGTACTTCTCTCGGGGAGGATGCAATAAATGCTCTGTATTAGGAGCATTTATTGTCTTTCATTTTTGAGCCTTACCGCATTGAATGCGATCTCATCAAGGGAATGGTGTAATTAATAGTTTGCTTTCCCAAGTCGCGTGTCAGCAACGGCTTTTGCAAGGAGTATTTATACCTCAAAAGCTCATGATTGCTGTCAGTGTAGTCAGTAGGTGATCATTAGGTACAGGCAGTGTGCGCACTGATTCTGATGAGGAATGTCTTCTCTTCTTAACTGCTCGGGGTCCCGAGCAATCAATGCTGGGTCATCGGGATGCCGACGGTACAATGTACTCCTCTCGGGGAGGATGCAATAAATGCTTTGTATTAGGAGCATTTATTGTCTTTCATTTCTGAGCCTTACCGCATTGAATGCGGTCTCATCAAGGGAATGGTGTAATTAATAGTTTGCTTTCCCAGGTCGCGTGTCAGCAACGACATACGGTTTCTCTGTCTTCGATGTGATATCATATGCCACACGTCCGTCCCTCATTGGTTGTGGCCCCCTACATTCCAGTACGTTCTGACACTAATTGTGTAAGACGAGGTCATGATGAATAGTCTAGGCTAATGACCTGTACGTCAATAGCTTATCCTGGAGTAGAGGAGGCGTCTAGGACGGGTACACCTCGGCACCGAGGAGAGGCTCATCTCGAAACCGAGGGAGGGATACCGACCGAGGTACCATATCAGACCGAGGCTACGTGTCGGTTGTAAAACATACTGAATGCATGATCCTATATGACGAGTACCTCGGGGGCGAAGACACGTGTCTTCATCATGGAATATTTCAGAAAAGTCTCATCACTATGGCCTCTGAAAGAGCTTTGAAGGAGCAAAATTGTTGGTTGGACTAGACCATGACGGGAGGAAAAGTAAGGGTCAAAGATGGATTGTTTGGTAAAGTTCACGGCACCTTAAATGTTTGACCTCTAAGATTGTTCCAAGAAATGTGGAGGCCCAAAAAATGGAAGACTAGCCAAAATTAAACATGTTGTAAAGTATAAATCAGTCGTGAATTTATTGAATAAATTTTGACATACCACGACTAGAATGCTCCATAATTTATTATTAGCTCTACCCCTTAGTGCGCTAATCTTGTATATTGAACTAGAAGAGTTTGAGGTAAAACACAAATGAATCAAATATCGTATATCCTACCAGGGGTGGCCTTTAAAAATTTAAGGGAACGAACCTATATAGTTTAAGAATATTCATAATTAATTATTTACCTTTTGACCATTTTACTAGTCTGAGAAAACTAACAAGTTGGTACAAGAGGCATGTCGGAGGACCTTTAGGCTGTGAAAGTGTGCTACTTTTGCCATCATACCCTTTATTTCGTGGTTCGCACAGCTGCCAACATGATCATTATTGTCTTAATAGATGATGATGAGATAAATCTATTGTAAAATGTTTAAAAGAAACAAAAATTATATAACTAACGTACCTTATTTGGTAAAGCTAAGTTCAATGAAGCGTGATCATAAACAATTTACATTTGTTTTCACAGCAGTGAAAGGCATAGTTTCGGAAAACACAAACGATATCACCTAGTTTACTCTCGTTCTGATACCATTCCAAATAATAAGAAAGGATTAGAAACTGTTAATATTTTTTATTTTTTTTTAAGTTCGTCATGAATTTAATAGTACTACTTATGGTGGAACAACCATATTTCCTGCTTACTAAATTATGCCACGAGTTCATGCAAAGAAGTGATGAATTTGGTTGATGGTTGGATTACTTGAGAGAAAAACTACTTGAATTTATGTAAAGAAACGATGAATAGTGTCTACAGTGGAATAACTCATGGGAGGGAACCATGGATTTTGTTTTGCTTAATTTCAACATCAAAGATTTTTTTTGGATTCAGAGATGAAAAACCCAACCAAAGAAAGTGTGTCTTTGTATGGACAGCAAGTGTGTGTGTGCGTGTTGTTTTTTTTATTGGGGGGGGGGGGGGGGGTTGCAAAGCCTTGGTCTGAAAAAACTGGCAGTGCTTCAGTGGAAGAAATTGTAGAGTATGAATAGCAGCACAGCTAGCAATGGAGGTCCCCATTCAGACCCTTCTCCTTTCTGGAAAAAGGCACATAGTGTGAGGAAGATCACAAGCAGCAGGATAGATCCCAATCCATGTCCAGCTCCGTCGCTCTCGTGATCAGCCGCCACCTCATCTTTGACATGAAATGCTTGGAAAGAAGAAGGCAGATAAACACTTGCGAAGTATATGATCATTATCAGAAACCAGAGGGCCAAGAGGCACATTACTAACAGCAAAAGTTAGGAGAATTAGTATGAGAGGTAAAACAATTGGATGTACTCAAGTACTGAACCAAAGGACAACCACAAAGGACAAACGACCAGAACAGAATTGAAGCTTGTTTCCTCTCCATCAGAGTCTGATGAACCACCATTCTTGAGGGAACGAACATGGAATAGCAAGCCTAAGATGCAATAGTACTAGTGGGATTACCGGGGACGGCCCTTCAGTCATTTTACAAGCCTGTTCTTCGACTGTGCTTTTACTTATACCACTGATAATGGTCTTTGAGGGGGAGGAGGAGGTGGGGTGTTTGTGATCATCTATGTTGCAACATAAAAGGCTGCTAAGAGGTGGGAACTTTCAACTAATCAAAGGGTAGTTACAAATAACTGAATTTTTAATGTTTGTTTTGTTAAACTACAAAGTTGATATTAGTTGCTGTTACTGTTCAACAACTTGGTTTGTTTAGTACAATTAGTTTCACATTTGCAGCGCTGCAAAAAGATTACATATCTAAACAAAGGGTTATCTTAAATCCAAGAATAAGAAAGACATGATTGTGGAATCGGGGTTGGGAAGCTAACTGTACAATGAAACAAGTTATGCATTTCCACCTCTAAGTCTGCTGGTTTTGAGTTAAGAAAGCTGATCAAATGAAACAGCAAACAGGAGGGGGAGGTGAAAGTTGAAACTTATATAATTCTGTTTACACCAAAAAATAGCAAAATCATAGGGTGACACGTGTAAGAGATTCAATGATCATGAAAGAGTATCTGAGAGTCCTTGATTGATAGAACGGTTAAGGATGTAAGATTTTAAGAATCCCGAGAATGGGGGATGAGACGTGATATCATAAGCCGTCACTTGGAGACAGTTCACCACACGTTTACGCGATTCGAGGAAAAAGGCTATGATCACAGTAATTTTTGAAAAAATAACTTCAACGGTTAAAGGTCATCCTTATAAAAAACAGAGGTCAGGTCACAAAGAAATGGATTCACGATTAAACACAACAAACGTTACACAAAGTTAGCCTACCTTATTCTCACTTATTCTTGTTTTTGAACAACTTTATTTTTCTTGTAACCCATTACTCCGGTGATCTTTTACTGCTTTCATTTAATGCTAAGTACAGTATTTGTTTCATCTTCTGAATTTAGTTTACTTGTTGCTTTGCATTCCAGTGTTTTTTTTTTTTATGTTTCAGTCCATTACACTGTTAGTTTATTTAAAGTCCTTAATCTTACATCTAGCTACAATTGTTAGAATGTTAATCTCAACTTAACTTTATTAAACTCTGCCTCAAGTACAAAATTCAACAGGCTGCCTCAAAGTAAAGCATTGATCATCATGAAAGATAGAAGAAATTATAGGTGTTTATGAAGGAAAGATCAATCTAGTTTCAAATTGTCAAAGTTTAGAAAAATATTGGCATCGGCACGAAAACCAACTATACAAGAGGGGCATCACTCATCTCTTAGCACTCTATACTATTTGAGCAATAAAACACTCAGGCTATCGTAATCCTTCATAGTGGAATATATCACTTTGACTGAACCACTAAATTTGTATTTGTTTGTGTTGAGTCTCCTTAATTACTATATTAAATATTTGACAAGTGGTTCATAAACACATTTTGAGCATCATTAAAATTAAATCAAAACAAAATGTAATTTGGTAAAATTCAACTATAGATAACTTACAAATGCGCTCAATTATTTAATATTTATCTTATTTAGATATAGACTACTAAAACAAAATTCGTTGAAAAATTAGATTAGATGTAGTAAGAAGTTTTCAACTTAGGTTCGAATCTCTCAAAAATGGATCCAAATTTAACTATTGACAAGCCAACTCACTATTTACTGGAAAGGCACAAGAAGTTTTGATGACTATTACGTGGTCATTCTCTTCAAACCAATGATTACCCTCCACAGTGAAAAAATCCTAGTTCCACCACTTAGCCTTACGTCTTTTTAGACTCGAAGCAAAGTCATGTGTTTCTCATGTTAAAATTATATTATGAGTTTGAGTTCTTAACCAGTTTCTGTGACATGAAAATAAGGCCATTAACAATTTAAATTTTCCTCCCAAATTAAGAGGCGAGCATTAGAAACCATATTATGAGTGAGAGAGAGAGAGAGAGAGAGAGAGAGAGAGAGAGGATCCCAACCTTAGAATTGTACTTGTCCCTGAAAGTTTGTAAATAATTTGGGGAAACAATAGTGATGGGAACAAAAATTATGGTAGGGTTGTTCACCCTGCCCGACGAGTAGGAATTATGATATATCATCTTTCTATTCAATACTTTGCGAAAGAATTTTTTTTTGACCTATCCTACCCGATCAAGTGTACTATTCTTATCCGAATTCTGTCCAAAACAATCGGGTAGGAAGTTAGATGAACACAATATTTTTTTGTTATTAATTTTTGAATTATTTTAACAATTTATTTAAGTAAGTTGCACAAATTAACTAACACAATAAACTAATTACACTAAAGAAAAAACAATAAATTCGATATTACATAAACAATTACAATAAAAAATAACAAAAAAGTCAAAAACATCAATACATCATATATAAGAAAGTCATAAACATCAATAAAACATTAAGATTTCTAGATTTTTAAATTTTAATTTTTAGAAATTAACATATATATATATGTGTGTGTGTGTGCGCGCGCGCGCGCGAGTAGGATAAAGTAAGAATACTAAAATTTTATAGGTATTCGCATTCTTACCCAATTTTTTGCGGGATACCAAAAATATTTTGTTGGCCCACCTAATTCTTTCAGGTAGTCTATCAATAGAATCGGATAAGGTAAGATAGAGTCAATTTGTGAGTAATTAGAAATTTAAACACCCCTAAATTGCAGTAAGAAATGAAAGTATAACAATGTTCAGGCATACCATGATGATACAATAAACCATGTGGACATTTGTCTGAATCGAGCCCAACAGGTAAAGGCTTGCTATGAATTAGGCCCATGGCGTGTCTACCGGGCTAACATGCAGTTTGCCCATGCCAGGCAGCGGGCCGCAGGTCAGATTTCATAGCAGGGAGGTACAGAAACTTTGTCCACCCTTGAGTTGGGGTGGGGCGAGTTCACCTTCACGCTGAAGAGTTATAGGTGCAAAGGTTTTTCTAGATTGAATAATGCATCATAACCACTGAATTGTTAGTGAAATTCAATTAACGCTCTAAGATTCACTGCTAATCCAATAGTTATAATAAATAAAATTATCACATTAGGTTTCAAAATTAGATTTTAATATCTGTACTCATACTTAATTTGCACCAATGTGATCGTACAAAGTAAGTTTATGGGGAGATCAACATTTCGTATACGTATATAGATTTGATGATCCAATGCATTACAACCCTTAGATTAGTAGTAAATCTCAATCAATACTAAAGCTCACTCGCAATTCAATGATTATGAACGATTAGATCATCAAATTATGTTGGTAAATTAGGTATAAGTAACATTGCTCTTCTGCATATATAGTTTGCATAATATTATTTCAAGGGTTAATTCAACTGTTTGTTTCTTTGCAAGAATTAAAATCACCTAAATTTCCAAGGGATTCCACAACTTCTCAAACTCCCTCGCTTTTTTGTCTTTTCAGAGCTATTTTTCAATGCCTGAAAAACTATACTTGCAGATGAGCATGAAGTATTTACCCAAAAGGACTGTAGGGATCAAATTAGCATTATGACAATAAACTAAATGTCATAATCATTTTGCAGGTGCAAAGAACCACACACAATTGTGTCCTTGTCGCCCAATAGGGATTAAACACAGAATAACATTTATGTATGTACTTTTGCTGAAAAACGAAATTATCATGCTTCTCTTGAGTGGAATCTTTGGTGGTTTCCACTGTGTGTGTTTGTGTGTATGAGAGAGAGAGAGAGAGAGAGAGAGAGAGAGAGAGAGAGAGAGAGAGAGAGAGAGAGAGGTTACATGTTTAAGCTTATCCATCTGTTAGATATCAGTCAATTTCTTTGATTAAAGAAAGTTAGGTTAGGTCCCACTCAACAAACTTATGATAGGTATCCTGTATCCATCCAGTCATGCCATTTTATAACCTATTTCTATGTTCTGTTATTCAGTAATAAGCTGCATAGTTTGCCACCCTATTTGAATTCTCACTGACAGTACATTTTTGTTTACCACCATATGACTTACTGAAAGTTTGGTCCAAATTCAGTATGGGTATTGCTAGAATTGTAACAAAGGCAAAGTTGCACTATGTCTTTCTTCCAAGGAAATGACCAATTACTTTGGCAGCAGCCAAAAGAAAATTATATCCCACAGAACTACACTGCTTGGTACATTCATATAAAAATACATACCATATCACAACCCTCTGAGAGATCTGCTTCATCACCTAATTAACCAAGATCATATGACACCATTTCACATCTCTAAGCAGCTGTTCATGCCTCCTGACATTAGAACCAAGACCCCCAATAATGTAGTCTGCTTTTGAAGTCTCTCAATTGAGTTGAGGAACAGTATTTAAATATGTATTGATCTCATTCTCAGAACCATGCAACTCAAACATGGTTAGATGTAAGTGCATACAAAGTTTCAAACAAGATTATACTTAGTGCCATCAGCCATGATCTCTCTGGTTTAGGAAGGGTTCATGAAGTCAAGGAAAAGGCAAATGTATTGTACGAACAAGTCAAGGAACTGTCAACCGACCTTTTTGTCCCAAAGATCTCCATGATGATTCAAGCTGTAACAAATGCAGTTTCTCAACAAATGATTCTAAAACTTCAGCCTCTTCTTCTGGAGCAAAGGCCATGCAAATGCTAAGCTCTTGGACTGCCTCTCCGTATTCCCTGGTGTTTGCCAACAACCATTGTTACACCAGCCAAATGGAAAGAAAGAGAAATATTAACAGCCATATGAAACAAAATATCATCAAAGACAATTAGGATCAACATATTACCTGTTATAATACAACAGCATGCCATGGTCTCTCCTCAAAACCCAATTATGTGGCTGGAGAATAAGTAATCTTTCCGCAGCCATAATAGCCAGCCTAAGACAGGAAACAAAACACATCAAATATAATGCCATTCTGACCAACAAAAAACAAGCAGAATCTACTATCTTAGATAAAAATGTAGAGGATTTGTTAAATATTGAACAAGCAAAAAGGTGCTAAATATTGCCATATTACAAAAGTCATAAAGCAACATGATACATTCTTGTGTCCCATAAAAGAGCAAAAGAAAGGACTATAGTTCATAGTTCAGCCAAATGGATTAGCCTCACGCTCATCTGATTTATTCAGATGTCCCTGAAGGAACCTCAAACAACCATTCGATTCTTAGAATGTATGTCCCAACTGAGAAGAAAATATATTTAAGAAACCACAGAAGTTAAAAAACAAAAGCTTTGATTGTATGAGGCAACATTTCTTCCCAATCCACAGAAATAACTATTAAAAAGATAAAATGAAAATCTGACAAGACATCGTAGTACAAGAAATTGGAGATTCTAAAAACATATCTCAATTTCAATATACCATACATACAATAACCTTGAGCAAAAGGTTTAGGTCCTTTAGAATTAAATTGCTTGTTTGTTTCCTGAAATACCACCAAAAGATTCTACAAGCATCCATGAACATAATATTTCGGCAAATCAAAAGTAGGCAGACTACTACATGAACAACTTATGGCCAATCCTTCAGACTATGTCACTATTGCATTTGTCCAGTCCATCATGTATCTCATGTCATCAATTAATCAGCATGGAACATAAAGTGCAAGAAGAAATTCAAGTTCCACAAAGAATATTGGTTCCGCCTCTATAAGATGGTGTCTTCCTCTTTACAACACCGGCATTGTTCATGCTTCTATTAAATACGTCAGTGTTCTGTCCTTATCATCCGTGGTGCAGTTGTCCCTAATTGTTCTGCAACAAAAAATCTAAACAAATATGCTTTATGGAAAGGAATTTTACAGCTGCAAATGTTTAAGGGCATCAACCAAGAAAATGCTCTCTAAAAGTGCTCACACGCTTGAAAAAGTAAGGCAAGCATTGACAGCCTCTAATCTGTACTCATAAGTCCATATGGTACGGTGACTCCTATTTCGCTCTCCATAGAGATTGTTGTTCACAGGGATGCAAAATCAAGATGAATGACCAAACTGCATCCCAGCTTTTCTGAATACAACCACATTCTCAACGATAGGTGTGAATAAAAGAACATAAGTCGACCACCACTGTCCCCAACAGAAAAAGAAAAAGAGGAAGAATAAAAAAAAAAGAAGAACTACTGAGCAAAAAGCATATTCAATAGGAACTTCGTAACTGTAAATGTTGGACAAACTTGGGCCTTCTATAGTGGAAGGCTAGTGTAAAACTGTAAATAATAAAATGCAGTTCAAATGTTCAAAATGCAAGTTCTACCAATGCCCGATAAGATACTGACATCTGGAGCATGGATTGGCAATCATATATAATTGATCCTCATTCCGGGTTTGTATTTTTAAATAGACTATTATGTTATATGATTAGTGCAGGGATGTATCAAGATCATAATGAAGCGGCACTCAGCAGTTCTTAGAACCTAGATATTTTGTGTCAAGGCTGTAAGTAAGAACTTCAAGCAGCACAATTTGCAGATACGATATTTCAATGAGCATTTTTTGTACGAAACATAATTGGAATGTGGAACAATGTTATCAGTCCAAATTCACAATTCTCCCGTTTCTCATGCCAATCTTGCAATATTACATTCTTGAACCTGTAAGGACAACAGAAAATAGTGCCTACACAATCAGGACAGTGAAGGAATAGTTGTAAATAAGATACACAGGGGCATAAGAACAGTACCTCAGATCTTGAGGCCGCAACAAAGGGAAGTTTGAACCATCAATCTTGCTAAATTTTTCATCGGCATGTACAGGCCTAAGCGCAGATGTTAGCATCAGTCCATAGTTCATTCTCGAAGCACGTTTCCAATGAAGCCTCTGCGATATTTGTAAATTCATTTCAGTCACTTCATGGTTGGGAAGCAAAAGGAATTACACGTAATGTTCAACACGAGGACAACAGGCATTGCCTAAAGAAACCACTGTGTACACTAGAAATTCTGCAAGGAGTAGAGCTTACAATCAAATTGGCTAAGGCAATCCCAATAATGTCTCGATTTGTTGCAATATCAAGCCCCAAAAGTGAATTGCTATCAATGTCTGAGGCCTTTGATCTGGGGTTTTCCACACACCTTCCATTGACAACTCCAAACAAGCTGTGTCCTGAAGTTACCTTGAATAGCTCCTACAATGTGGGTGATGTACAGAATCAAATTCTGTAAAATTAACTAAAAAATAGGTGTTCCCATAGGATAGGGAAAAATGAGCTAAAATATAATCGATGCGTTTCTAAAAATAGGCACTTATATGCTACCATAAAATTTCACATTAGTCACGAGCTTAAAAACCAACACACCTCAGGGTTTCCAGTTTGGGGCCATATCAAAAAATCTTCCCCAACTCGAGATCCCACAATGGTCAGATTTAGTCTTCGACAAACCTCGATATAAATAACGCTAAGCAAAATTGCTGTAAACAAGGTAAAAATAATGTCAGGCAGCATCAAATGTCCAGTATATAAGAGAAACATGCATTATGCAGAAGTTTTCAAAAACTTTGGATTATGAGCTAAACAAGAAGAATGCATCCAATAACCAAGCAGCAAATGTACAAAATAAGGATGAAGATGTACCACTGCCGCATCCAGAGCTTAATACCCAGTGCAAGTATGAATATTTTGAATCTACTAGTACAGGTGACCTTTTGAAGCCTCTCAACTCAAAAAGAACTACGTTTACTGCCTCCAAAACTTCAACTAAATGGCAACCTATGTCTCTTGAAACTAGCTCTGCCTCAACTTCTTTGGCAATGGCATCCAACTCAGCCAGCCATTCATTTATGCTCTTCCCAGCCAAGGGCATAGCCTCGACACATTTATACTCTTGTGCATCAGCTGGCACTGAAGCATCTTTCCTTTCATTTTGAAGTGAATGAACATCCATCTCTCTATTGAAAGCCATAAATCCCTCATCTTCAGCAGCAATGTAAAGCAAAGCCTGCAAATTGCAATTTGGAAAGTCAGTTTCTCACACGAATTATAAATTTTGTATTCCCAAAAGGCGTAAAAGAAATAATTATTTCAGCCTTCAGAATATGATGCTTACTAGAAACAAGTTCAGCAGAAGAGACAGAACATAAAAATGCTTTCACAGGAAGGTATCAAAAATAAATTTCATCTTAGGGGTTGGATCGCCAATGCGAATAATTTGTGTCTTGGTGGATGAGGTACATCAGAAAGAAACATAATCACTAAAAATAGAAAGTATAAGCATATTCATCATCTCCATTCTTATTGAAAGATTAAGAGCATAGCAATAATACTAATGTTTATCCAATCGAAAACATCTTCGCACCCATATAAAATGACAGAAACAGGCAACAATTCACCTTTGCAATGGAGATGTCTTTATCTTTGGACTGAAACGATATCTCCCGTGTAAATTTCTCCCTAGCAGCCTTTAGAACCTGGCAAATATAATATCATCAATCAATACACTAAAGTGTATTGTCCAAAACAAATTAACAGCAAAGAAAAACAAAATATCACAATTGAATGATTACCAAAAAATAATCAATGGTATTAAACAGATCCAATCTTACTAATCTAAAAAGCGCTAATAGACAAAACAAATGTCTGAATTAATCAATTAAGGGAACCACAACACTAATACAAAGAAATGAATAAAGTAATTGCAACAACGAGAGAGACCTCCGGGTTGAAATTTGGAAGGGATGCAATTCTAGTTGTGGCTAAAGCAGAAGAGGCCAGAAGTGAAAAGCTCGATCGCCTCTTCATCTGCGCTGCAGTAGTCGTGACAAATTTGCTCCTCCTCCCTTTCTCATTCAAATTCCAACATCCACGACCATCAAAACCATACCTGGTGATCGTAAACAACAAAGGGATATTGGGGGTTGCCTAGCTAGCACAAATCCTTCTCCAAACCACTAAAAAATTAAGTGAAAATAACAAGAAGAGAAACGAAACAAATCAAAAGCCTCATCCACAATACAACGTTTAATCGACCCATTTCATCTTGTGAATGAAAATAACAATTACCTGAAACCCAGACCACCATTGTAACCGCAACCACCACAAATTGCCAAAGCTGCTGAACCATTAGACAAAAATACACCCACCATTGTGTTTGGCTCAATAAAATAACTAAATTTCCAATACGGGATAAAGGGGGACGATTACAGAGAGAGGGAGAGAGAAAAGAAAAGAAATAAATGAGGAAAACAGGAGTTGAAGCTTGAAGGGGTAATCACGCTTTTTCTTCAGGATATAAAGAAGGCTTGGCAGTGAAATAAGAAGCAGTGATTAAGGAGTACGAGGGGTTACATGCGGCCATATAGGGCACATAGTAAGTACTTCCAGAAGACAAGGAAGACGATGACAAAGCACCAGACGAGGAAGAGAAACGACAGCAAAAGCGGCTAGACAGAGAGTGGAAGATGACGATGATACAAGAATTCCCAAAATCCATGGTATTGGCCAATTGATGGGACTCCAATTCTTGCATCACCCAACACCCAACTCTATTTTATCCTCCCCTCCCCCTCCCCCTCCCCCTCGCACTATCTCTCTCTCCGTATCTGTAGACCTGTATATGTATATGATCGAGTTGCCCTTTTTTAAGGGTGCCGTGAATATGTTAACATATCTCCATTAAAAAAACCTCAATCATGCTATTAGATACGGAATTAAATAGACAAATATTTTAGGATGTCCCAAAATAAAGTAGTGTTTTTGGGAAGACTTTGTAAGAAAAGTGATCAGTGGCAAGAGAAAGACAGGGATAAGGTTATTTAGAGGTATATACAATTGTGCAAGTCAGAGAGAGAGAGAGAGGTCTCTCAATTGAAAGAATGGGCACACAAAGAAGGCATATCCGATATGTGGAGATTGGGATGACGATGGAATGATTCAATCTCCATGATTGGACCAACGATTTTCTAGGCTTTTTTGAGCTACCCATCTGACGTTTGAGTGTTTGCCCCTTGCCCCCACACCCCAACCATCTCTCTTTTAAATATCCCAATTGATTAGTTTGCATGACCATAGGCCCAATAAGCTGGAGGTGAACCCACAACCATAATTCAGTGGTATAAAAATAATTTAGGACGAGTTACAAATTTAAATGTATTGAGATTGATTCTCGTTTATATTTTGTGTTAAAATTGATACAAATAAATAGGTCTAGTAATAAAGATAAGTCTTAATGGATTCGTGCTAAAAATTATCACAACACAGATATATAACTCGTATATTATACAGGTGCATGACATAACCATGTGTATTTAATTACAAATTCTAATTCTGTAATAAATTGGGTCATCTATTAAACGGATAATCGGGGTGGTGAATGGATAATCAAGATACATATCAATTCATTAAATGGAGTTAGACATGTTTACTTATTTACTCCTTGAACCCATCCATTATAAGATCAAATTCAATTCTGCTTTTTATTTTTGTAATTTTGGATAATATTGTGCTTGTCATAATTTGTTTGGACCCTTCCTAAATTCTTAGAGGTTATTCAGTAGTTAAGCTTAATTTTTGGTAACTTAAAGATCTTACGTTCAATCCATTCTTACACCCTTAAAGATTAGTTACCCTTGATTTTTTTGAAATATACTCTAACTCAACTCAAGCTATTGTAACTAACAAATGAAATCGAGAGAATAGTCAGTAGTAAACATGAACACTCTAAAAAAAAGGGGGGGGGGGGGGTTTAGATTTATGTTCATTCATATGTTAAATAAGTTTGGTTGGTCAACGTTTGTAACCTGAATTAGTTAATTCTAAAAATTGTGTATCCTTTGTATGTCTTCCACTATTGAGTCTAACTTTGACAACCCAACTTGATCCATGTACCTTTTCATGTACAATGTGAATGTTTTATTGTTTTCTCTAATAAATATAAGGCTTTTTTCATATTTTTTACAACTTTTCTTATACAAACCATTAGATTAATGAATCTTATTAATTATCACATGATTTTCGTTACACTATGTAAGTTTGCAAAGATAAGTATTGTTATTTTCACATAATTGTAAGTCCTCGGTAAATATAAATATTTGGGAAAATGAGTCTTCCTTGCCATTAATTAGGGAAATAAATTAAACTTCAAAATGTCTTTAATGGCATGTTTGGTTTGGTGAAAAAGTGTGTGGATGGAAAATGATGGATAGAAAATGGGATAGAAAATGACATTTTCTTTTGTTAGGTATGGAAGAAAATTTGAGGGGAAAAAAGAAATGGGTTAAAAACGTATCCTCTGCTCCCACCATTTTTAATTACTCCACAAATGGGAGGAGGACGGAAGGAAGGAAGCTGGTTGAAAAATTATTTGGAATTACCATTTTAGCCTTAAAGAGTGGCAACACAAATTAGGAGGAAAAAAAAAAGTGTGTGGCCCACCTATTTTGTAATTTTTTTATGTACAAGAGTACTAAATTAGTGGGTCCCACATCAAAGCCATTTATTTCTTACGATAGCAATTATGGCCATTTTTTTATTCATTCATTTTCTCATATCATATAAAATAATAAAAAATGACTAAAAAAAAATGACCAAATTGCACAATAAAAAATTGACCAAATTATTAATTTCTTGACTTTTTTATTCATTTTTTGAACAAATGGACCTTTTTGCCCTTAAAATATCCTTCTAAACATTATGTTATAATTTCAAATCAAAATCTACACATTTCTAAAAAAAATATTTCTAAATATCCTATTTTATATATATATATATGTGTGCGTGTGTGTATGTTTAAAAATTTATTTGTAATAAAAAAAACATATTTATATATATGTATCTTTTCTTTCCTGCCACTTTTTCTCTAATATCAAACAATAAAAAATTAATTTTTTCAATTTTCCATCAATTGTACCAAACACAAAAAAGAGATAATGTTTTTATTTCCTTCAATGATAGAAAGTCTATTCCTCACATTTTTTTATCCTTCTAATTTTTTATCCCTCCTATCAAAAAGAGCATAAAAGTTAAAAATTCAAGTTTTGTTTTCAAAAGATTCGAAACTATAAAAAAAAATAAATAAATAAGCAAACAAATAAACAAACACACTATTTTTGACTCAAAACAATAATATTGAGAAAATTTTCATTCACATGCCCTACAAATTACCTTATCTTCAAAGATATATTTTGTATGAATTTTGTTACATTCTCTTCTTGTTTATATTTATGTGATTTATTCACACTCCTATTGTAAGTATTGTTCTGATGAAAATTGTTGGAAATATGAATCTGAATGATAAAGTGAAGGACCAAGTCAGATGCGAACTAGGAGATGTTTGATAACACTACTTAATACTTAAAACTGAATACTTTAAGTCTTTAATGAATTAAACTCGTTTGATAACTAAAAATTCATACCACTTAATATTTTTAGCACTTCTTCAAAATATGCTAAACTTTTTAAGTAGCAAGTCACTTACTTATCACTTAATGTTAATATATGTTAATCAATAATAATTTTATAAAATTATTATAATGGACAAATATACTTTCAATGCATTTTACACTCTTAACTTTTTAATATCCACCATCTACAACCACCACCATTGTGCCGCTGTCGTTACCATCGCCAACATTGTGCCACTGCCGCCACTAATTCAATACTTAAATTTTAGTGGATGTCAAATAATTTGTGAATTAAAAAATTTAATATCTAGCACTTTAAATTTAACATTCAGCTTTCAATATTTAGTTTTTAATTTTATCAAATACCACATAGGTCACTCTCTTAAGACGATTCGCGCCTTTTTTATGAAAGAAATACAATGCAGAAGGTAGCAGTGTGTTGTCTCCAAGATACAACTATATAGCATAATTGATTGTTGTTTCACTTAGATCTTTACAATCGAATGAAGTAGAAACTTCACACGACACCTTTCTATATTGCCCAAAAACTAATGCAGTAGAAAATAATATATTAGATATTTGGATCTGAAATATATATATTATAAAAATATTACTATTGTTATTTCATAATTACTTTCGTATTTAATTAGATAATAATTGTTAGAATTAAATAGAAAAATAACTATTAGAAAACTGACCATTAGACCCCCGGTATTCAGAAACTAAATTTTTAATAAGGAAGTTATTACGAAAAATAATAAAAAGTGGATTTGATATTATTTAATTATTTTCATATCTCCTCTGCTAGTCTCACCCCAGCACACGTGAGAGTTTTAAGATCTCACTTAACTCCATGACTAAATAACACTAATATGTATGTGTGTGTGTGTATATATATATATATATATATATATATAGTCATAACCCGTGTCTGAAGACACGATAAAATATAAAACTCGAGCGTCCAAAAAATCGATCTCACTATATTAAATTTTTTAAAACTATATTAACTATAAATTAATCAAATATTAAATGATTAAATATATGATAGAAATGAGTTATGTGATATTTTTAAAGAGGAAATATATAAATGATTAAATATGTGATAGAAATGAGTGATGTGATTTGACGTTTGAATATGACAAATGAATTATGGGTGAGGTAAATGATTAGTGATGATTTTGAGGAGAAAAATATGACTAGAATAAAATTTAAACACACTCATATTTTATTATATAGATATATACATACATACTTTTAGAAAATTTGATAAACGTAGGCTTGAGTTTCCCACATAAAAGCCCTCTTTTGTTAAATACTATAATAAAAAATGCTAATACCATCTAAATTTTTTTATCAAAAGACCTATTATATCCTTCTTAATTATCCTCCTCCTCATTTCTCTCACTCTAGCCCACAACATACTGCACCTCCCAACTTTCTCCAACCACCGAGGGGTGTTTGTTTATTGGGTTTTGGGGGATTTGAAAAGAGGGGTTTAACCAAAATAGTCTAATGAATCAATTATACTCATATTTGTTTATGAGTTTTTAAGGCCTGAGATTTAAATCCCGACCCATGGTGGGCAATCTCAGCCAGACTCATACACATAGTTTTCACCAAACTCACGAAGGATGGGTTTCATATCTACTAACCTAGAATAAAAAGGTGAATTGATCATTGTAACCCTAACAAGTTATTCTATTTACCTAAATCGCATCCCCAACCTTCAAGCACTTCTTTTTTCGACTTAAACAATTATGGATATGGATTGAATTGATTAATAGGTAATTTAATCAATTAAATGATAACTTTGGATTATACTTGTTATTAATCTGTGAGTTTCACGTATATTATGCTACTTACCAAACAAAGATATGGATATAACTTGTGTACTAATCGCATGTACAAAAGAGGGATTAAGTTTGGGTAGGATTTGATAAAACTAATTCAATCGCCCATTGAAAAACCATCCAAACATGCCCTAGGACCTCTCCTATTTTAAATCCAGTTTAACCCATCTCCTGACACCAGGTAAAGTCATCCATGTAGAGGCTCAATTCGACTATTGCCCATCTACTTTAAACCCCATTGAAAAATTAACTAATTTTATAACGCAGCAAGAAAGAGAAGTCATTCATTATGAATACGATAGAAAACAAACCCGAAAACAACCATTA